GGTGTTGTATGGAAACCAATTTGACAATAAATTTCATTAAAAATTTTTTTAAAAAGTGAACTTTATTGAAGATAAAATTTATGTGTAGTAAAAGACAGATAATTTAAGATAGAGTTCATTGACTTTTGAAATATATATACCTTTCTGTAACCACCATAGAGGGCATATGTAATCTTTCCTTTCTAAAAGGTTCCTTACTGCCTCTTATTTCCCACCCCTGGCCCAGGTAACCATTGATGTACTTTTTTTCACTTTACATTATATTTGTCTTTGCTGGAGTTTCATATGAATGGTATCATATGTATGTACTCTTTGGTGTGTGATGTCTTTCTTTTGGTATATTTCTGAAATTCATCCCTGTTTTTGTGAGTACTATTAGACCATTCTTTTTTTATTGGCAAATAATAATTCATTTTATGGGTATACCACAGTTTGTTTATTTGTTTACCTGTTAATTTGTCCATTGATATTTCAAGTGTCTTTCCTACTGAAAAACTCTCTCTGTGTCTTTCTAGCTGAAACATAGTATTAAAGCTTTTTAGGAGGGAGCATTAAAATGCTTTCTTAAGTTACTGCTATTTATTTTAATGTTTTATTTTTGAGAGAGAGATTGAGAGAGAGAGAGAGTGCAAGCGGGGTAGGGGCAGAGAGAGAAGGAGACACAGAATCTGAAGCAGGCTCCAGGCTCCAAGCTGTCAGCAGAGAGCCCAATGCAGGGCTCAAGTTCAGGAACTGTGAAATTGTGACCTAAGCAGAAGTCGGGTACTTAGCCGACTGAGCCACCCAAGTGCCCCTAATTACTGTTATTTATTAAATAGTTTTATATTCCTACTTCTGAGTTTTAAAAGTGGCCAAATCAGTCAGAAGGAGAACAAACACTTTTATAACGAATTACCTTGAATTAGTAACCCTTGACATGCTAAATATATACCTATTTCTCTTTTATATTTTTGTATTTAGCTATTACAGGAGTTTGGGGGCAAAGAGGTCTTTATGGTACAGGCTATCATCTTAAGTGCATTTGTGTGCTTTTTTATCTGTTATTTTCTACATAAAGTGGCAATTAAAGATATCTAGCAAGTAAATGTCCAATAGGATAAAGTAGCTTTGAAGCCAGGGTTTAAGGTGCCTTTTATCTTTTAAAATCTTTTCTTCTGTGTGTAATTTCCATTAGTAGTTACTAAATGGTTAGTTTGCACAATTACAACAGAGCCAACAAGCAGTGTTCAAGGAAAAAAAAACCCTAAAGTTTATGGTCTTGGGTTGTGATTCAAGAATTACAACCGTAACTTAATAACAAGCAAATTGAATGAGGACTTATCTCCCAATGTTATTTTGACATTATGTAATAACCTTTCTGTAATAGCACCTTTTATTTTAAACAGTTCCTTAGAGGCACTGTTGATATGATAGGGCAATATATACAGATGTCAGTTTTATGGCTCCAGAGATCTACTATGCATTTGGTAAACATATTTCAGTTACATTTTGGCAGTAAAGAGAGCAGGAAGATAATGCTTCCATTAAAGTGATCAACTATGCATGTAGAAATTGGGTAGGAAGATGTGTGAAAAGGCTTTCAGATGAAATGCATTTTCATATATAAATTGCCTCTGCTGCATATATAACTGTCTCATAATGCTTTAGGGTAATTCAGCAAATACAGCACTGGAAATGGTGTTTGTACATACTGATCTTAAAGAAGGAAGTGTATAAATTGCTTTATGATAAGTCCTGCTGCTGCTTAGCTGTTATATTGCATTAACCCACTCTTTTATCCCAGACTTTTTTCTTTTCTTAAACAGCTGATTAAAACTGATTAACTTACTATTTCAGCACTGTTTTATTTTCCATTCTTAAAATAGTTATTACAAGTAAAAGCAGAAGTTCATTTGTGTTTTTCTGCTACGTGAAACAATGTGTCTTCATCCTCAGAGCATTAGTATTTCAAAAGTAATGTTGAGTAAAAGTTTACTATCTGAGAAGCTTAATTATTTTTCAGATACTTATGGTATGATCATACCTGAGTACATATTAAATTTTGTATCATAGCGAACTCTGTTTTAAACCACACATTATTCTGTAATAAATACTTACATTTTTAGAAACTTCACATGGGAATTTTAAAAAAAGCAAAAATATTCTCTTCTTGATGCATTATTTCTCTTGGTTAACATACTTCTAAGTGCTTTTATATCTCAGAAATAGGTAGGTTTTGTTTTTTCCTGTGCCTGTCAGTTCTATTACCTTCTTTTCATTTTGTTCTTCTGACTTTTCATCTGCATTCCACAGATTTCCTCCTCTGATGCTCCTCTTCAGCCTTTGGTGTCCTCTCCTTCTCTACAATCTGCTGTTGAGAAAAACAAATTGGAGGTATGGTAGTGTTCTAGCCAGCTGCATTATGTAGTGTTCAGTGGTAAATAAGCTTTCTTTTGCTGTGTGTCATAATTTGGGAGTGGTGTAATAGTTGTTTATATTTTGAGTGGTCTCCAGTATTAAATATATTAAATATAACAATTTCTAGAATATTTTCCTATGCCACCAGTAGGATTAAAGAAGTTTGATCCGTTTCATTTCAAAATGACAGATTTATTGGTACTATAGATATAGCTCAACATTTAAGAACTAATTTTTTTGTTGTTGTTTGCATTACTACTTTATACTTCTAGGATTTTTTTTATAGTTGCTGTTGAATTCTTTGATCTATTAAAAAAGTCTTTCATTGAAAATGTTTTCTTTAGAAGATTCTATTGTTTTAAGCATTTGAAGAAAGTGTCAAGTTTCTTTTTTTAAGCAATAGTAGCCATCATTCAGATACAGTAATGTAGATAATACAGAGTTATGACTATGGAATCATCAGTGATAAACGTTAGAATATGTTTGTGGTAGGCATGGTTAGAGTGAATGGTAATGATTCCTAATGAGGAAAACATAACTTTACAGAAGTTTCTTATGCAGTATCATTTTTGTGCTGTGATTGACATTCACTCACTATGCTCTTTAATACAGGAGGCATACTTTTGAAATATCTTTAATTCTTAATAAACATTAGCTATAAGGATTAGGATGCATTCTAAGTAGAGAAAGCATCTTGTGAAAAAAACCCTGTGGGCAGAGTGGGTTGTTTAGAGATTTGTAAGTAGATGGCATAGCTAGAACATGCATAGGATAGGGAGAGAAGTGAGAGAGCAGCTCACTTCTGAGCCTTCTGAATGATTTTGGTCTTCACTCTGAAGGCCCTGATACTACAATGATGAACTTTAAGGGTGGAAAAGGTAACAGGATCTGATTTTCTTGTCTTCACATTGTTCCTCATATCTGTGGAGAATAAATTATGTGTTGATGGGTGTGGAAAAAGCTTGAGAACTTGCTTTAATCCATGAATAAAATGATGATGGGAGCATGTGCTAAAATGGAGGGAAAGAGAATAAAAAGGCGAGTGTAGTTTTAAGAGATTCTGAGAAGATGGAATCCATGGGATTTAGTAATGAATAGATTGTGACGGTACTTTGGGAAGCCTTGATGGCTTCCAGTTTCTGGCTTGAGTATCTCAGTACATGATGGTTCTATCCGGGGAGAAAGGGATACAAGCTGAGGGTGAGGAACAGGTTTGTGGAGAACAGAGGCAAGGGGATGAATTAGAAGTTGGATATGACTGTGGGACATCCAGGTATCTAGTAGGTAGTTGAATATATAGGTCTATAGCCCAGAGGAAAGATCTAGGCTGGGGGAAGTGGGAATAGATAGAGAGGGATTGAGAGGATGATTAAGATTATAAAGCAGCCCAGGGAGAGTGTGTTGAGTGATAAGAGGAAAGTTCTGAGAATAGAAAGCTGGGTACACTTGAACTTAAGAGTTAGCAAAGGGAATTCACAAGGAGTCTGTAGGGGACAGTTTTAGAGCATGAAGTACATGGTTGGAGTGTTGTAGGTACTTACTAGGTCAGCACACAGACCCAGGAAAGAAGCACTCTAGGAGTATGGATGTTACCATGAGAAAGTGGAAGAATGTCAGAGGCAAATTTTGCCTTTTCAAAATTTGCTCTGAAACTATGCTTTCATGTAAGAAAAAGAGTGGAAATCCTGAATATACCTTTGTACTGTGGTTCCTACCTGCAAGTCTTAGAAAGCAGTGGACATTGGTGTTTCAAGATGGTGGCATAGGAAGACCTGGAACTCCCCTTTTCCCACGACACAACAAATCTACAACTACACATAGAACAATTTTCTCCAAAAAAGACACTAAAACTAGCTGAACAGCTCCTTCACAACAAAGGACAAAAAGGCCGCATTGAGATAGGTAGGTGAGGCAGAGACATGGAGCCACCCCTGGTGCTGTGATCCACAGGTGAAAGGGATCTCACAAATATGAAGAACATCCCTGAGGAGTGAGGAGTGAGTCCTATATCAGACACCCCAACCCTTAGGACCTGCACTGGGGAGATGAGTCCGCAAAACATCTGGCTTTGGAAACCAACAGGTCTTATGTCCAGGATACCCAGAAAACTGTAGGAAAGTATGACTCTACTCTTAAAGGGCATATGAACAGTGACTCACTTGTCCTAGAACCCAGTGCAAAAGGAGCAAGTTGAAAAAGAAGCTCCTAGACCATATGTGAAAGAGATTTATTGCCTAATTTTAAAGTGTCTGTTAGAAGGACAGGGGTCAGTTGGATCTCTCTTTGAAGACAGGTACTAGGCAGAACCATTTTTGTACTACCTCTACCTTGCCAGTGCTGCTCGCCCTGCTCTTCTACACCCCCACAGTCCCACCCTACCAAATTGGATGGGTTGGTTCTTCCTGGGCTGGTGCTGTCCTGTGACCCTGCTAAAGCCAAGAAACGCATGCATTTCACACAGGGGTCACCCCTTGAATGCCTGGCTCTGGTGGCCAGTGGGCCTTGCATTTTTGATCCTTACGGAACTGAAACAAATTGGAGGCACAATTTGTGGCAGGCTATCCCCCGCCCACCCCCCCCACCCCCCCATACATAGGGCACTACACAAACAGCTGACTGAAACATGCTCTCGGTCTTCCTATGACCACTCCTTCAATACTAGGAGAGGTCACTATTTTTCCTAATAGAAACGAACTGAGAATTAGGCAAATGAGGAAATGGGAATATGCTCCAAAAAAAGAATATGGTAACATTTTAGGGGGAAAAAAATCTTAATGGCGATAAGTAATTTACCTGATAAAGAATTCAAAGTAATAGTCATAAAGATGTTCATTGATATTGGGAGAATAATGGATGAAGGCAGAGAATTTCAACAAAGAGATAGAAAATATTAGAAAATACCAAATGGAAGTCACAGAGTTGAGCCAAGGAATTAACATGACAGAATAGTAGGGGGACCCAGTGCTTGCTTTGTCCCTCGAAAGCTAGATAAATATCAAATCAATCTGAACACCCGGGAAACCGATCTGAGGAATCACAAAACAAACTGCACAACTAGAGGGAGAGAAGAGTTCATATCATGGAAGGTAGTAGGTGTAGAGACTTGATGTGGTGGAGAAAAGAATTGCCAGTACTGTGGAGGTGAGGGAGCCCTGATCGGGGAAAAAGGGGAGAGAGAGCAAGAGTGCAAGCAGGGTTCAGGGCATTGCACAAGAAAAACACTTCCCCGAAACTATTGACAGGGAAAATGAGAAGGGCTGATTACTGCAAGTTTTTACAAGCAGCAGAGCTCAAACTCTGAAGTTTTAGAAATCCGGGCCATCACTGGGGTGGAGCCTGACAGGTGTACAGGGGCTCCTGTGTAGAAGGAGGGCAGAAGCCCAAGAGCAGGCAGTGTGGTCTGAGGATCCCCTGGGTTGCTCTGGGAGAGTATAGTTCCCCTTCTTGGAGTGCACTTGGGAAAGGTGGCACTGCCTGTCAGGGGACAAAATAGCCGGTGGGTGCCATTGATCTGCTCCATTTATTAGCATAGAACAGAGGCATCTGCTGAGGGCAGCTAACCTGGATGCTGACTTTTTCTGTGCTATACGATGAATTCCAAGCCCCTGCACGTTGTTGGGACTGCCCTTTTGGGACAAACTGGCACCAGCCACAGGGTGATAAGACCCTCCCCCAGATGATGCATGGGTCTGTGCCATCCCAGGTTACTAAAATCTGGAGTTTTGAAACTCAGCTCATGTACCAGAGATAAAACACAGGAGCACTGCACCACTGGGTGGGCAGATGGCTAGAGTGAAAGCAGGAATCTGAGGGATGCTTGGGACACAGAAGGGGAGATTGTTCACTCATCTGTGAAGGCTTCCTAAACAGCAGCGGGCATAAACTTCCCTCTCTGGGGACAAGAGAGTTGGCTGACACCATTTTTACCCCTGCCCATGAGCACAGATGGATTTCAGTGAGCAGGACAGCGCCCATAGTGGAGGCTTGAGCCGCTTACACCAAACCTTGTCCCCCTGAGCTGTGTAGGTGCTTTTTTAACCTGAGCAAGTATGCCTGAGACTCAGAGCAGCAGGCCTCTCCCCCAGAAGACTAGCATAACTGCCTTCCTCTGCCCCCCCACTGCACACACCCAGTCTACTGACCATGGAGTGCTGCAAAGCTTTAGCTCTAGGCAAAATAGAACCTAGCCTCTTTTAACAAGCAGACCAAAACACACCTACTTAAAAATCACCACACACACAGTGGACAAGGTCCAAACACTCCCCATTGTAAGCAAGGAGAAACTCTGCAGAGGACTGACCCAAAGGAAAGAATAGCCAAAACACAATAGCACGGTGTACACAGCATACACCAGAACAACTTCCTGAAGCACCAGGCCCTGGACAGTATATGACCTCTTCTTAACATAGCCATTACTCTCAGGAACAGGAAGCATAACAGGCTTTCCTAAAACACAGAAGACAGAGACCTGGACAAAATGTCATGATGGAGGAATTCATCCCCAAAGAAAGAACAAGAAGAACAAGATCATGGCCAGGGATCTAATCAAAATAGATATAAGTAATATGCCTAAACTAGAATTTAAAACAACAATCATAAGGATAGTAGCTGGGCCAGAGGAAAGCATAAAAGACAGAGATAAAAGACTTATAAACTAGTCTGGCCGAAATAAAAAAAAAATGCTATAGCCAAGAAACAGAGGAATCAAAGAGTTATATAGAAGATAAAAATATGGAAAATAAATGAAGATGAAAAGAAGGAAGGAAAAATACTGGATAACATTCATATCATAGGAGTCCCAGAAGAAGAAGAGGGGGGAAAAAAGAGAAAGTGTATTTGAGGAAATTATAGCTGAAAATTTCCCTAATCTGGGGAAGGAAACAGATTTCCAAATCCAGGAGGCACAGACAACTCCCATAAAAATCAATAAAAGGAGACTAATACCAAGAAATATCGTAGTAAAATTTACAAAATAC